CCCCCCCCCCATCACACACCGGGGGTTCACGAACACACCGGGGTATCCCGCTTCCTTTTCCATCTCCGAATTACGCGCCGAGCGCAATTTCACACGCACTCCTGTGACCTTATACCGACGCTGACCTTTCGCCCGTTTCTCTTTCAGGTCTGCAGCCTGCCAGCACCAAAGCTCAGCCGACCTCGATCGGCAAGTCCCACCGACCCAGTTCCGGTGTGCTACCTCAGGGTCACACGCCGGGACCTGGACCGGGCGGGCAACAGAATAGCAGGAGCTTCGCCGCCGCCTTGAGGAACCTGGCCAAGCAGGCGGGCCCGGCACCTCAGGAAGAGGAGCCCCGCGCCAGCCCGAAGAACCGGGCGCCGCCGCCTTTGGTCAGAGGTCCCTCCCCAGCCAAGGTGAGCGATCGCACCGGCCTCGCGGTTCACGCGCGACCGGGACAGAACCAAGTGCATCCGTCTCGCGGACAAAGGGGCGCCCTCGACCTCAGACTCGGTGGTCCCATGATCGGAATAATAAACGAAGCGCTTTTTGGGGCGTGTGTAGCGGGCGCGGCTGAGAAAAATCGGTTGACATCGGTCGTCTCGTGCGCGCCTTCGTCTTTCGCGAGGACACGTTTTTTTTTTTTCCTTGTACGATCGGGTCGCAAGATAGGTGTGGCAGAATACGCTCGAGAAGGGTGCATACATTTGCAGGGAATTTTTTTTTTGTTTTCTTCAAATCTTTCGCGTTTGCTTCTGTCGATAAGGCGGTTTATTTTACAACATTCTCGAAAAATCGCTGTGTACTCGGTTCTAGTTTAAAAAAAATGAGGAATTATAATTAATCAGTATTATAAGCGATAATTTGTTTTTCGATTAATTTAAACCAGAAATTACTTCGGCAGAAGTGTAATTTGAAATTTAATGACTTGAAACTTAATGTCGGGACTTAAAAGATAGTTAGGCGGCTTCTCATTTTTGCGGCGAAAAGAGGGGGGGACCGTCGAGAGAAAGCGTGCGAATACCGGGACATCTTGCATACGATATCGCGGCTCGATTCAAGTTCACGCGATCTCGAAGAGCGGTAATTGCCGTCGGGAATTAACGTCTCGTCATCAACGGTGAAAGTGTCGAGGGGGCGGAATAAAATTACTCGCGTGAAACGGCGCGGAAGGAAAAGAGAACGATTTCGAAGGCACGCGAATCAAACGGCCTCGCAAGATTGCGAAGTGTCAAAGGCTCAAAGGTAGATCGAAAACGCAGCCAATCGCGGTAACGAAATGAAAAAGGTGCTTACTCTGGCGGAAAGCGAGTAAGGTAGCTCGGTTCTCGATAATCGCAAAGATCAAAGATCCCTTCTTCGATTGTATCGTCCGCGCTATTGCATTGCAAATGCGGGGACTTTTCCGAGCCTAGCTTCCGCTGACAATCTGGGTTGTGTAATCCGGACTTTGAGTGTTTTTCGTGTTTGATAGTCTTACCGGCTGTATAAGTACAGCGAGCCGAATGATGCGAACTGACACGGAAAGGATCAGCGATTTGAAACACGCGGCAAAGGCAGCGTTCGTTTTTCTTTGATGAAGCATAATGAAACTGCGAGATCGGATAATCGGATAAATCAATGTCACTTCGCGTAAACTGAGAAATTTCACGGATGCTCGTCGGATATTTTCAGCATCGATCAGTATTTATCTGTAATGATGAATTCCTTGGTTCGTCGCTTCGGTCTGACCGGAGGTGCACGTTCTTCCTACCAATTTCCACGGCGCAGTCATCCGTGCGGCAACTCATTGCCGGTTCGGTGCACGACTTCGTTACAACGCCTGGCAATAAACTGCGAGACCGCTCGTAACATCTAAGTGGCGGAAGAGACTATAAGCTGCAGAAAATTTCAGGCAATTTGCGTCGCCTACCAAGAAATCGTCTTAAAAATATTGCTAACTCTCGCAACAAGGACAGTGCCCTGTTTTAAATCGCGATTTTTTTTGCCCACGAATCTGCACTTGAGCATAAATTCAGACATATTTTTTCAACTTCAATATAATTTCGTGACTCTCGCTGAATATTTAGCATCTTGAACAGAGCAGGCGTGCCAATCGTTTGAACGTATAAAAAAAAATTGCGCGCTACAAATTATTGCAAAAGGGGGAAAAAAAAGGCATCTTGTCGCGCATTTATCCGATCGACTGAGGAACACCGTTAATTTTTCCTTTCGCAGGAGCGATCGACGCACGAACGGAGACCCGAAGAGATTCCCTCCTTGTACACAACTGCCAGACCCGTTGAAACCAGCAAGCACAGCGTAACTGCCGCGGCTTCCGAGCTGCTGGCCCGTTCCGGTTTCCAGCCGTACCGGCCCGAGCACCATCCGGCCCATCCGTCGGCGTTCGCCTTGGATCCCGCGACCTACAGCGCCTATCATCCCGGTCTCTATCCACCGCCGCATATGCAGCACGCTTATAGGTAAGCGGCGCATTGTCGTTGCGCGAGTCTCCCAGCGTTTTATCGGGAAAGAAGAACTTTCGCGCCTTATTTCGGGCGCTCTAAGCCCGAATATTCTTGCGAATATCAATTAAAGCCAAGCGGGGTTTAACGGATCGTCTGTCTCTCTTTCTATTCCAGAATAGAGGAACAATTGTATTTGGAGCGGTGCGGAATGCTGAGACCGCCGTTGTTTCCCGGACTGCCGTCGTATCCTCATCTGTATATGAGATACAGTCCAGACATTCTTCCCCCGCCGCCCGCCTCTCTGGGACTGATGTCTCCCGTGATGCATGAACGGTAAGTGAAAAATTCAGAGAGAGAGAGAAAGAGAGAGAGAGAGAGAGAGAGAAACAGAGACAGAGAGAAAGAGAGAGAGAGAAAGAATCACGAAGCGAACGGTCGTGGATGTCGAATTTCTTTATTAACACCGCGTTGCGGTTCTCGTTTTTTCAGGCTGAAGATGGAGGAGGAGCATAGGTTGCGGCAAGCACGGGAGCAGGCTGCGTTGCGGGAGGAGGAGGAGAGGAGAAGAGCAGCGAGAAGTTCTGCTCCCGCTGCCCCGGTACCCGCGCCTGCACCTGCATCCGCCGATACTGCAGGTGAGCGAGTCGCTCCACCCCCCACTGCCTTTCATTAAAAAGTAAAAATAAAAAAAGAAAAGAAAAACGTCGATCGAAGCGCGCGATTGCGATCCATTTGCGATCGCTTGTTAAGGCGCGCGAACTCTTTCCGCCTTTCTTTCTTCTTTTTTTTGTTTTTTTTTGTTTTGTTTTTTTTGTTTTTTCCGCTCTTCCGCTGCGGCGACGTCGAAATACCGCGCGAAAATTTCCTCCGATGTCAAATTTCTCTCATTCGGCCATCTTCCCAATCTAGCATCCGCCCTCCCATTGAAATGGTGTCGGGATTTCTCTGTACACGCATTCGCTCGCGCACACGCCGTCGTCTTTCGTTTAGCCTTAATCCCAAAAGTCGAACACGCTGAAGCGAGATATCGCACTCCTCTCAGCGGCGATCGTTGTACGACGCGACGTACGGACAGCCTGTACTGCGAGCCAAAGTTCTTCTGCAAAACGACAGACGGACTGAGCGGCGCGAGCGAGGAGAAGTCGTTGTAGAAACTGTGACTGTGACCCAGTGAAAAACTCCAAAAAAGAAAAGAAAAGAAAAAAAAAGAACAAACATATTACGCTTCTAATTTTAATTTAGATTTAATGAGAGTCGTAGTCACATAGTTATACTCGTTTCTTACGGAAGTAGCGTTGATATCTTTTAAGTAAGCACGCGATTTTGGTGTCTGAGCGAGAGAGATCTAAAAAGGGTGGGCTATATACGCTGTGAAGAAATGAACATCGAACGAACAGCGAGTGCGAATTTTCCAGAAAGTACGCCGCAACGAACCAGAGGGGGAGGTTCGACGTTCGATTCGTGTCGCGATCCTACTTCGAACGTTGGCCCCCGAAAACAAATTTTACTTCACATTGGCAGTTCGTTCCTTGTTCGCTCAATATATACCCTTAAACGATATTGTCCATCGGCTCGATACTCACCGAATTGTCAGAAGTGGGCTTAGTGGCAAAAAGATATTATTCATTCTACTTTCAACCTGGGACACGGACAAATTACAAGTGCAACCCAATTTTTCCGAGACCCAATTTAGCTGTTTTCTTTTCTCTACACACGGACCGAAGTCAGACTTATCTGCTACTGTCGCCTTTTGTTAATGTCATATCAACAGTAAGTCGGCCTTCGGTCGGCCATAGACCTGTTGTGTACACGATGTTCTTTGCATACGTGTTTCAACTCGTTTCTGTAGTATTCGAATGTGAAACCATTTACTGTACGACAGCAGATTGGTTATATAGTTAATCGTTTTGTAGTCGATAACAGCGAAACTTAAACATAAGAGTGCACGCCTTTCAAAGAAAAAGGGCTGTTTTATTGAGTTTTTGGACTTTTCGAGGGAAATATCGGATGGCGGAACCGAAGCGGTTACAAAACATCATGTGCATTAGAGATGAGTACTGTTATACAACGAATGATGCATTAGATAATTCTTTTTTTAATATTAAATTTTTTCCTTATACTTATTATTGTTAAGTAAAAATAAAACACATATATTTGATATTTTATGATTTGAGGCGTTAAAAATTATACATTTTTTTTTATTAATTAGTTTATTGGGCATTATAAATTATATTTTTTATTGATTAGAAATTTGTTAAATCGGTGGAAAGTGTTTAATCATTTGGTATAGTGAATATAATAAATATCTGTGAATATTTATATTTTCGAGGCGTGAACTTTAGGTATGTGCGTGAAATTGCAATCTGATGAATTATAATTAATTCAAACATCAAGTGTTCTTTCATCAGGCGCAATGCACTCTTGCGTTAGTTCCCGCAACTGTTTTAGAAATTTTGCAATTAACCACTTAATGTCAAAATATAGTTTCCCTTAATTGTATAGTAAACATGTTGCTCCTCTGATACTGACTGAATCAACCGATGTATATAAACTTTATTACACATGTTTTTTTGGTCAAAATTATACCATTTTTATATAATTTATTATGTAAACATGTATATTTGGACTATAAATGAAAATAAAACTTGCAAAAAATGTGATTGAAATTCTAATGGACTTGGAATTCTTGACCCTCGAATCATTTTCTGAAACAGTTTTGGGGAAGATTCCGTGAACTGTGGTCCAGTTTTTGAATATCTATTTTGCTGCGGTTATTATTATGAAAAGATATTGATACAATTATTATGAAAACGTTCGCTGTTTAATATTAGAGCAACGATGATAGCGATTGCCCCAATAGCTTAGACAATTGGTTCTCTTATTTTTTTTTATTATTTTTTTTTTTTCGCTCAGCGTTACTTAAAACATGACAGTAATCATCCCCAATACTTCGAAGCGAATATAGATACTTAATATCTTCTTATAGCGCCGGAATAATTAAGTAAAGCCAAGGTAAGTTGGAATAGATGAACTAATACGAAGAAGTAAATTCGCAAAATTTTATATTGCATAGCGTCATTGCGTATAACAATTGCGTAGGTCTTTTTTAACCCATTAATTGCGTGATAATTAATTGGAAATGCTATTAAAACCCAATATATAATACAGTTAATTTGCGTAAAAATTCTAGCATAACCGTGTACTCTATTAAACCTATAAGATCGTGAACATGAGATAATATTTTCTTAACGCTTCTCCTCGCGCGCAAACTCACCATAAAAGCTTGTCTCAAAATCTAACGAGACATTTAGATTACGTCGTGATAAAAGCAACTGTCTTTTATTATTGGATATACTAAAATTATTGGAAAAGACTTAATGCAGTATAAGATAACGAAATCTGGCCATAGCGATATGTCGTATTATTTGATTAATACGTGATTATTACATCTAAGATTTCAAAAATTATTTCACGATAAAAAATTGTTATATTTTACATAGAATATACTTGAATGCCGTAATGAAAGAGGAAAATCACGTAACATATCGCCATGGCCAGGATTTCTTTCATTGTAGACGAGTGGAAGATCACCAAGCACTGTGTTCGGGATTTGTTCCAGCTAGGAAGCCGACCATAGCGGCTCAGATGCATAGCGACCGGGAGCGAGAACGCGACAGCAGAGAACGACAGAGCGGCAGCGGCGGAGGCGGCGGCGGCGGCGGCGGCGGCGGAGGCGGCGGCGGCGGCGGCGTTAGTAGTAACAACAACAGTGGGAATGCCAGTGGTGGCAACACTGGAAACAGCAGCGGCAGTAACAACAATAACACCGGCAACGCCAGCAGCAGCGGCAGCGGGTCTGCCGTTGCCGTCAGCGGCAATCACCATCAGTCACGAAAGGAGGAGCAGCAGCCCCCGTCGGCCGCGCCACCGCCACCGCCTTCCGATGCAGCAACGGCAGCCGCCACCATCTACCACTCTCGTCTGCCATCCTTCCCCAGCGCAGCAGCGCCCATCGGACCATCCCTGGGTTCCACTTCCATTTGCTCCGCCAGCTCCGCGCCCATACCACCCCCCCTGGGCTCCGCTTTGCCCCCTTTGAACCTCGGACCACCATTGCCGACGGCCATAAGCTCGGCGCCGATCGGCCCGCCGCCGATACCCTCGATACCCTCCATCCCGTCCTTGACGCCGGGCGTGATAGGACCGCCGCCGCCACCGCCGTCGCTGTCCCTAGGCATGCCTCTTCCGCCTATCATCTCCATCCCCCTCCCTCCACCTT